CAGCTCCCCCCCCCACCCCCCCACCCTCCACACACACACGCGCGCGCACACGAACACAAAAAGCCCCCCACCCCCCACCCCACCAACACCCTCCATTTCTATTCATAACACTTAATAGTTTTTCTTTTTGGCCTCACGTTACCTGCATGATAAATTTAACCCTGTCCGTACGTCGTGTTTTACTATCGTATCCATACGACGAGGGGAACTCTGTGCCACCACTTTCAATGAGGAAATTTACTCGTTAATCCGATTCGTACTCTTAGCAAAGCAGTCTATCAAAATGATTTTTTGAGAAATACTGAAGTTTCAAAGAGATCTTCGTACTAGAAGTATTCTAAAATGTGAAGAATACAACTCCGGGGGTACAAAATGACCGCAGGGCATACGGATAGGGTAAACAACGTCTCCCACCAAAAACAAATGTCAGAAAGTAAGAGCATTGACACGAAGACACTATGGTCTCAAAACGCAATTAAGGGAATGTTAAAATCAAGGAAGTAGACTGCCTGCGTGTATTGGCGTGCCAACAGCATCTCATAGCAAGGCTGCATTTTAAAAAAACAAAAAACAACATCCTTTAAGGTGTCATCAAGATGACATAGAAACGCCGTAAGCACTGTTTACGGATTATCGTTGCAGTAACGCAATGGTACAGTGGTACAGTACAGCACGAATTGGTTCGTTATTAGAATACAAATTATGCGGAACAGAACGAGACCGAGTTTTGCTCATCATTATCATCATAAACATACACCAGGTCTGAAACAGACATAGAGACGATCATGATTTATCATTTATTTCTTTTCTCCGTCAACTAACAGTTTTTCTAAATAAGTTGCTCTTGGTCTACGTTTGCCCTCTATATTTTTACCTGACTCGGCTCGCAAGAGACATACACAGAGGAAAATATCCGCTTTTTCACATGAGAAGTGCCGTTTAAGCAATGGCACTGGGAAGGGAAACTGTGGGGGGGGGGGGATGGTGGGTTTGTTCCTCTTTAAAAATGGGGAAATTCAAAAAAGCCTGTAGTCTGCTTCCTACATCCCCTCACTCACACTATGGACTATTCACCTTTCGCCCACCCTGTACCACCACCATCATGCATCCCATCCGGTCGGCGGGGGTCGGGATAATAGAAGTAATATAGTACGATAAAAAATGTAGCTCCGAGTAAGTTTATAGCATGTTTCTGAGAGGGGGGGGGGGTTAAAGGTGTAAATGTGTGTATGTTTGTGTGTGTGTGTGTGTTTGTGTGTGTGTGTGTGTGTGTGTGTGTGTGTGTGTGTGTGTGTGTAAGAGACCTGGGGATGGGGGTAATACAGTATATCATACCCATGGTTGTTGTTTTTTTTGGGGGGGGGGGATTAGGGAGGGGGGAGGGAGGTCGTATTATATCACACTAATGTTGGGTTTTTTTTCTATCAGTTGCACTGCAGGTCGAAAAAACAGTAGTCGACTATCCTTGAGATCTAACAGAGGGACACAAAGAAGAAAATCGTGAGGAAAGAGACTGGCAAAATATCTTGATTTTTAAGAGTATGCCGGATTTGATAAAGAGTTGGAAGGGGTGGTCTTTTGAACTACTTTTTCCTCTGTTTTATCCTCCTCCCTGGTTAAAAATTTTCTTGTCTCCATTTCATTTTCAAGGACAAGTGGTTGAAAAGTCTGACTAGTTGCGGCAGCAACAAAATCCCACCTTCTGCAGATCAAATCAAAGCTCCACATGAGCAAAGTATCCGAGGCAAAGAGAAGTATTGTGAGAACAAAGTGGAACAAAATGGCGAGGCAGGAATTGGCTCTAATCTTGGCATCAGCATTATCCCGCCCAGTAGCTACACCAATGGCTTTGGCCTTCATCGCGGCACTCAAGCAAACTTGGCCCAAGGTGAAGGTCGGCTCAGCAAGAACAGCAGTAATGGATGTTTGTCTAGAAGGGCGACTGAGTCTGTGGGAACTCCCCATGAGGCGCTCGTGCACATGGCCAAGGTTTGGGAGGACAGGTTTCATCCTACAGACAACGTGCAGGTATTTGTGGTTCTTTATCATTATCATCATCATCATCATCATCATCATCATCATCATCATCATCATCATCATCATTATTGATTTTGTAGTCGCGGGTCGTTTTTAAAAAAAAGATATTCTGTATCCTCACCTCTTCCCCCCAATTCCATATCTTCGTTATTTTGACAGTTTGTACCGCAGGGAATGCACCATGTCTCATGGTGAAAATTAGCTCTAAAAACATGAAGACAAATGTTCTGCAAAACAAAAAAAAAGAAAATCGTCTTTTTCATCTCGTCTGCCTGCCCAGCTAAGTCGAGGTCGTTCCACCCCAAAAGAAAGAAAACTGGCTTTTGTCACTTAGGCTAACCAGATGTAAGAGATGTATGTGATATCTCTCTGCTTCAATTTAAAAAACATTCGTCGTGCCAAGAAATCCGCAATCTTGAGGTTTCATGCAACACATTGAATAATGAAATATACCAATAACCGTCTTACTGAATTTTATTGCATATAATTTGTTAATCACATC